TTCTGGACCCAACATTGAGCTAAGGGGGTCCCGTTTGGGTTCGGGAGTATAAGTCTTGTTTGTCAGTCCTTTTTTTTAGGCTGAAAAAGCCCCCCTCGACTTATATTTGGTTGAGGATCCTGGCAGGAAGGTGTGGGGCTGAAAGAGTGGCTTCTTTCAGCCCCACGCCTTCCCGCCATGACTCTTACCGCTCTGCACAGCAACCCAGCTTTCCTTCCTCTCCTCCTTTCTTGGTGCAGCATGAGACTTCCTATCCTCCTCTCTCGGTGCAGCATGCAATTTCCTCTCTTCCTCTCTTGGTGCCAGTCTTTCCCACTTTTCCTTATTCCCCCCAAATGTATAGTTAAAATAAACTATGGTGATTATTGGAAGGATACGTAAGGACATTTACATTGAAGAAGGTTAGAACAATGGTTTAATCAGAGTTGCACAGTCTTACCTTAAATTACAGTTTTATGTGAATATTCAAAAATATTTAACCTACTGATGCCTCAATTAATGTAATTTTCTTAGTATCTATTTTTATTTTGAAATTAACCAGCTGCCTCATTTTCCACCCTTGGCTTATACTTGAGTCAATAAGTTTTCCCAATTTTTTGTCGTAAAATCAGGTGTCTCAGCTTATATTCAGATCGGCTTATACTTGAGTATTCAAAAACAGAAAACTCATAAATTAGATAAGAAGTAGAGAATCCAGTTTGAGAGATAGCTATCTATCTTCCTTGCAGTCCTACTTTGCATTGAAAAAGTGCATCTTCTCATCAAGTAGGGAACAAATCCTTGCACGACTCACCCATTTGCAGGATGCTTTATAATGGAACACATCTGTGTCTTACAATGCATGTGACTTGGCATAATGTTTCATTGTTCTCACTACTCCCATTTGCCCTTTTGCATGAAATATCTCCATGTTAGCGCCAGCTGTCATCATGGGATTCAAGCACATGTGGGGATATGCTGTGCAATGCAGCGGCTTAAGGCAATATGTTCTTCCATCTGAAGCACTGCCTTATGGAAGGATTTTTGAAAAGCCATCATGAAGTATGAACAATGCATAATTTAACTTTCCAAAACACAGCAATGTGTGAAGAATGCTCAACTTCTATGCATTATAGGAATTGGAAAATATTTAGGAAAATCACTTCCAACTTGATTCCCATCCTCTAGAACAGGACTTTTTACACTTTTTTCCACTCATGGCCTATTTCAGCCCAAGAAATTGTTTCGTGACTCTAAGTATATAGGTATAAAAATAAAACATTTACTGATAATAAATCAGCATTTGCAAGGCTTGCTTTCCCTTTTTATAAAGTATAGCTGAAGCAATTTAATGAAGTACAGCTGAATCTGTTGCTAACAAATTCATGTAAATGTCTAGGTGGCACTCAATAACCATTTACTGTTGCCAATTTTTTCATGACACTAACATTGAGCTAAGAGGACCTCATTTGTGGTCAGGACCCACAGTTTAAGAAGGGAGTGCTCTAAAATCCAGGGGGAGACAGGGGTCTTGGCTAAATTTTCTTCCTCCTAATATAGACATGAGATTCCAGAATACAATTTTGCAGAATGGAGAAATCAAAGAAACCATTCTTTCCTTTCCTATCTCCATGCGAGCCATTAGAGTGATTGCTTCAGCCACTCCTCTGTTTGATCTTTGGATTTAGGGATGATACAGTTACAGCTCTACAATCCCCACATTGTTTTCAGTGAATGCTATGTGTGATTTCCCCTCACCTCTGGCCCTGAAGGAGTTTGTGAGTGCTGGTATATATTTGATCTTGAGCCAAATAGCTTTCTTGTGTATACATTAAGAGAACTAAAACTAGATTAAAAGCATTCTTGGTTTAAGACTCATTTTAAATGTTACAGTTTTTCTGTACTATACTCGCCTTGTATGAAACTATCTGTTGAAAGGTCTTCTTGTCTAGTTGTGTGCCTCATATCAGATTGTAACAAGTATTTGGAAATTAATTATTCAGGCATCAATTTTTTTCAATTCTGAGCTCAAAACCAGATGCTGTGATGGGAAAATCTTGAAGAGGCAATCCACTCAAATCATAATGATTTTGACGTGTTCATATTGAAAACAGTTGCTAATATGACCCTATTAAATGTGTATACATTTCATATGTAAAGTCAGCATAGAAATCATGTCTATTTATAGCTAGATTCCAAAAGGAAAAGGGCTCACTGTAATTTAAGGAAGAAAAGAGCATACTTGCACGTATAAATTAGGGTCATTAGTTTAACCAAAAGTAGGCAATCAGATGCCTTCCAGATATTATTGATTGCAACCCCTATTATGGCATGATAACAAGTTGCTTAAATTTTAAAAAATAAAAATCAAGAATATAATATTCCTTCCACTTTTTGTGGGGATCATAGTCACAAAACCTCCACAAAAGTGGAAAACCCGCCATTAAAACATTATTTTTATCTGAGATAAAACTCGCTAGAAATCACCAGGTCCTCCAGGAGTTCTGTCTAGATACAGCTAGATAGTGTAGTGGTTCCCAGCCTGTGGTCTGTGGACCACCAGTGGTCCTCAAGAACAAAAATATGGTCTGCAGCCTCACCATTACTACACCATTGCCTCAAACCAACGTGGCAGTGAGAACGACTGGTTTCACGAAACGCACTTATAGTACCGAGGCAACGGGGATGTCGGGAGGGAAGAGGTTGACTACCCATGAAAGATTACTACTACCACATCAGCTCTATATTATTAAATATGGCTTTCTGTGGGCGAGCAGGTGGAAACTACTGGTTGGCATATATTCTGTATCAGAAACTGGAGCTGATGTGGTCTATTCAATGCAATTTTCTGAATCAGCACCACAAATAACTAAATCGAATCTAAAGTTGACCGAAAACTGATTCGTAACCCATTTTAGTATTAATGTTTGACAGTGGTCTCTGGTCAAAGTGGTACCTGGTCTAGTGGTCCCTGATCAAAAAAAAGGTTGGCAGCCACTACTCTAATGTGACTCTTCCAGCAGAAATTGACCATAAAGTTGCCTTGATGACCTAGAGTTTTCTATAGAGAACATATTTGTCTGATTTGCAAATAATCAAACCCACAAAAGATAAATGTGAAGGACTGGCTGTAGAATGCTTTCCACCATAAAACAGTTATTACAACAGAGAACACAGGGGTCGTTAAAATTAATTGCTTTGTTCTTCTTAAGCACAGCTTTTATTGAGAATCTTCCAGGACGTGGGGGCGCATCTTTTACCCACCTGGGACCATGGAGGGCTGAGCCCCTCGTTTTGGAAACATACCTCTATTTCAAACAAAAATATACTGATAACTTTTGCCAGTAATGTTTCTGAAACCTGTGTGGTAGGCATTTCCCCTGGTCATCTTTTGCAAAAACAAGTTCTCCATGATTCCAGGTTCAAATGAGCGTGCTGCCTCTTCTGAAAATGTCCAGAAAGGGCTAAAAGCTGCAGTGCTTTTGACCATTTTATGCCCATTGCTATGGGAAATACTCTGATTCGGACTAATTCCAGAAACAGGAATAAATCCCATTTGCTGTCATCAACTGGTAATGATACAGAACCCTGTGCTCTTCAGAGCTTGGTTTAACACTGTAATGCCTTGAACTCAACGGCCAGAATGGCTATCAGATGGGGGATTATGAGATTAGAGCTCCAGGAAAGATAGGTATAAAATACACCCCATAATGCAGCACAATCCTGTAATTATACAAGGAAAAGAAATCTTAAGAGCATCAGCAGTTGAATGAACTAGAGACAATGGAAATAGGGGAGGATAGCAATGTGCAGTGAGAGTGCTATAATTTGAAATTCTTTTAAAATTAAAACTGTCAGACATGAAAGTTTTAAGAAAGACGTTATTACTGTTCATCATTACATAACTCATAGTTTCTACTCTTCCAAAACTGTCCAGAAAAAGGGTTTCTATTAACTGAGTCATGAAACATGAAAGCCGCTACTCTTCAATAAATAAATCCCTGTTAAAATTGTGTCTGGTAAGAATGAGGGGAGATCAGAACTAGTTGCTTATATCTCACCTGCCGTAAGTTACATTTTACTAATTGAGGGGAAATTGCTTATTGAAGGGTGAAATGCCATGGAATATAACCTACTGTCAACATCATTCATCAGAAGTCTGACAAAAGTATACCATAAACCAAAAGTAGTGTTTGTTTACTTGCCATTTTGGTAACAAGGGCATTCATTACAATACCATTGCAGATACTTACTGTTATAGATTACTGTAAGAGCAGATTACTTCTCATAAGTGAGCCATGCCACATTTTGCCTGGGCGGGTATTAATAAAAGTAAAAGAGACACTGTTAGACACTCTTGCTTGCAAATCAAGAAATAGAATCATAGAAGAGACCTCGTGGGCCATCCAGTCCAACCCCCTGACAAGAAGCAGGAAAATCATATTCAAAGCACCCCCGACATATGGCCATCCAACTTCTGTTTAAAAGTTTCCAAAGAAGGAGCCTCCACCACACTCTGAGGCAGAGCGTTTTTCATAATGTTCAGGTAGAATCTCCTTTCCTATATTTTGAAGCCATTGTTCTGTGTCTTAGTTTCCAGGGCATCAGAAAACAAGATACATTTTTCCTGGCCTGTGCAGGTATGGTCAGTCCAAAATACCTGGAGGGCCAAAGTTTTCCCATACCTGACTTACACTGTTTTACAAAATCATTTCTGAAACACCCATGCTTTCACAGGCGTCATTCCCCTATGAAAGACTCCTTTGTTAACATACAACTTCCTCGTTATCTTGAAAGTCAAACGGACAATTTTCAAGTCTGGATAGGTGTTAGACAATAGTGAATTAGTAACTCCCTGGAATAAAGCCATGGTGTTTGTGAAGAGATCCATTTCCCCATTTAAGCAATCTGTGCGGCTTTCGTTTGCCTTCCTGCTCCCCAAGATAAAGATCGAAGGGTAGCTCTTTTTTTCTCTTTGTTGATTTGCAGGGCATGTCTGACATGTTCCCCTTTATTCACAGATACTTGCAGCGACTTGAACTCTGAACTGCAGCGGGTGCTGACGGGGCTCGAGAATGTCGTCTGTGGGAGGAAGAAGAGCAGCTGCAGTTTGTCTGTGGCAGATGTGGACAGACACATTGAACAACTCACCACTGCCAGCGAACACTGTGACTTAGCCCTTAAGGTCTGGCAACATTCAATTGTCATACTGTAAAACCTTTTTTGGAAAGTGGGGTAATATATTCCTGTATTCATCATTTCATCAGATACCACAAAATAACCCTAGCCAACACACATTTTGGTGCCTCAAATGTTAGCTCTGTTTCTGGGTATGTTTGACCTACTGATTCCAAAAATGGCTAGTTTTTGAGATACAAAACATATACCATCTACCAGTCTTCATCTCCTCACCAATAAGAAATCATGATAACCATATTTAGGAAAACAGAGCTGATGCAGTCTATTCATTGTAATTTTCTGAATCAGTGCTCCAAATAACCCCAGGAACAAGTCTAAAAACCAAGACACCAAGAAAAAAGTATTTTTGTTGGGATATGTAATTTTATGATACAAACTGATGTAGATAAGGTACATTTCTTTAACCAAAGGAATATCAGCCACAAGGGTTAAAATAATTTTTTTTAAAGGGATGAAAATGGGTTGTCTCTTAACTCTCTCTTTGCAATGTTATCACTGACTTGAACTGTTGATATTTATTGCTAATGACAATACATAAAAGAAAGATGTGATGGATAGGTAGAGACACTTCATTAAGTGTGGAAAGGAAGATTCTGCACAGATAGGTTGAAGAGTGGGCTGAAAAACTGGACCATAAAGAAACTGGAGAATGCAGTGAGCAAAAGAAGGCTGTGGTTGTAGCAGACTGGAAAAAACTCATGCGTCAAACTAGTTTGGATTGGACCTTGTGACAGGTGGAACTACAAGCAAACCATCCTTAAAGCATTTCTGTTGTCTGTGTATTTGTCTCTTGATTGTAAATGAGTTTAGAAGTATGGGACATTTTGATCCAGTATGTTATGAAATACCTTGTTGTTGCTATTGTGACAATAGTGGTATCTTCTCTGCAACTATGCATAGTTTAGCTGTAATACTGTGGTGTCTAGAAATATTCAGTCTGAAACAATTCCATCCTATTATAAGTAAAAATAGAATGAAGAACTAGGCTAGTCCTAAAAAAGGAATCTGTATTTGATTTACATTTTTCATCAACCCTTGCCACACACACACTTTGCTCTGTGTTTGAGAGCAAAAACTAAAGGACATCATCACACTAGAGAACGAATCCACTTTAAATCCAGTTTCTGCCTCCTGTAGAACTCTGAGCTTTGCAGATTTAGGAGACTGTTAAAAGCTCCTCCCTAAACTACAAACTCCAGAATTCTGCAGAGGCAGAAAAGTGGATTCATTCTCTACTGCAGGGGTCCTCAAGCTTTTTAAACAGAGGGCCAGGTCACAGTTCCTCAAACTGTTGGAGGGCCAAATTATAATTTGGAAAAAAAAATGAATGAATTCCTATGCACACTGCACATATCTTATTTGGAGTGCAAAAAACACTTAAAAACAATACAATAATTAAAATGAATAACAATTTTAACAAATACAAACGTATTAGTATTTCAGTGGGAAGTGTGGGCCTGCTTTTGGCAAATGAGATAGGATTGTTGTTGTTGTTGTATGCTTTCGGATTGTTTCAGACTTAGGTTTATCCTGAGCGAGGGCCAGGTAAATGACCTTATCTGGCCCCTGGGCCTTAGTTTGAGGACCCCCGCTCTAGTGTGATGAAGTAGATAGATGTGAACATAAATGTATGGAACATCTTGAAGCAGGCACTGGAAAAATGCAGCTCATGGCCATTAACATTAAAGGATCAAGGGGATCAAGCTTTCCCAAACTTCTATCTTAAAGAAAAATCAAATAGTTATCCCCAGGCCTCCCAAATTACCACAAAAACATGGCCAATTGGGTTGTTTGTCCCCATCCCTCCTCCCCAGCCCTCCAGAATTTGCCGATTTTTAACCAAAATTAAAACTGGAAGTGATGCCATGTCGTGCCCAGAATGGCAGAAATGCATCTGTGTGGCCGACCAGGGAAAGTGCAAGGGTGAAAATTAATTTTGTCTCATTATATTTGCCCAATTCCATTTTAAAGGGTGAATGACCTGGATTCAGAATCCTTTGTGTTGAGTCAATTGCATCTTATCTTGTCCTATGTGTTTTTCCTTTCATTTTAAGAAAGGACTGTGGCTCCATTTCTCTCCAAGTCCCACTTCTGAGGACAAGAGCTGCTCTCTGTTTCCCCTTTTCCTCCTCCGAAGCCTGTCTGAAACAGACAGTAATCCTCAGTCTATTCCTTAAGGTGTTATGCCACACATTTCTGTTTACTCAGCTCTTAGCAAATGCTAGAAATGGTGGATTGTGACAAGTAGTGAAAGCTTAGGAAAACGTTTCACATGTTTCTGTGAACACAAATATCTGAATATGTGCATTTTGCATATAAAATATTATTCAGATGGATTCTGCTCACATTCTGTAGTTCCCCCATTCCATTTTTTCTTGGCATTTCAAGAATAGCAGAAACATGTTTTTTTATCGTGTCAGAAGTGACTTGAGGACAAAACTGCAAGTTGTTTCTGGTGTGAGAGAATTGGCAGTCTACAAGGATGTTGCCCAGGGGACGCCCGGATGTGTTACCATCCTGCCGGGAGGCTTCTCTCATGTCCCTGCAAGCTAGAGCTGACAGACGGGAGCCCACCCCATCTCGTGGATTCGAACTGGCAACCTTCAGGTCAGCAACCCAACTTTCAGGTCAGCAGTCCAGTCGGCACAGGTGTTTAACCCGTTGCACCACCACAGCTCTGTGCAGAAACACCATGAAGAAATGCTATCAAAATTATTCACACCATTTTTAACAGTACCATAATACACTGAGGAATAGTTTATAGTTCACGTTAGCTTTGGGTATCAACCTACTGGCAAAAGTTAGACATAAATTGAATTCTATACTCTGTGCAAGTAAACATTAGCTACTTTACAAATAGGAAAGCCCTTAAATCAGGATACATTGTCTGATTTACTTTCTTGTTTATTTACTTTTAGACTAGGCTAAGCATTTTCCAGCTGGAGGAGCTCCCTTAATTAAAAAGGGAGGAAAGAGTTGTTAGGCTTGTCATTCCTTGTTCTCTTCCAAAAACAAAATAAAAAATGTCAAAACAAAAAAATTCCCTGTTTTGGAAGAAGTACCAACAAAAGCAAAACGTTTGCCTTATTACATACCAGTATTATCAATCAGTAAATGTAATGGAGTGTATGCTAGTTTTACCTCCAAGGCATAGTTATGCAAGTGTGCTTTGTGTGAAATGTTCAGTAAGTATGTTTTTAATGCTGCTTCCTTGAAGTACTATTTCTGGTTAATATTCTTCCATACTTTTCTTCCAGTCTTGATGCTTTAAAAGAGATTGCCAGTACTCTTCTGTTTAGGAAAGATAGTCTGAAATGGTGTATTTTGGTTTCTGATTAGATGCTTCCAGGAAGCCAGAGACTAAGGCCAAAGTCTCATCTATTTATGGAACTGGATATCACTTTAAAAGCAATCCTTTACCAGAAACGGTCTAATAGGCTCAAATGTCTGATGCTAGTATCTGACCTATCGGAGAATTATTCTGAGACTAGATTCACTTCCCAAATGACTTTGAAGTTACATTATAAAAGAGATTATAACCAGTTGCATCATTATGAGGAAGACCTTGCTTTCTGCACATGGTACTAAAAATAAGATATTATTTACCCTGTGATCACTTCCCTGGAGGAGGGAGAAATAATGCCGGTATGTGTATTACGGATGTCTCTGTTGCCCTACACCATAAAATCGGGGCTCACAGTGGGGGACCCCAAACCTCCCACTGAGAACTGTGGGTGCTTATGTGCTGCAAAATGCTGCTGCCTGATTGCTTGAAGGAAAATGTCAAATCGGTAGAGAGGGGGAATCATATTGTATATCGTATTGTTGAAGGCTTTCATGGCCGGAATCACTGGGTTGTTGTGTGTTTTCCATGCTGTATGGCCATGTTCCAGAAGCATTCTCTCCTGACATTTCGCCTGCATCTGTGGCAGGCATCCTCAGGTTGTGAGGTCTGTTGGAAACTAGGAAAATGTCCAGGGTGGGAGAAAGAACTCTTGTCTGTTTGAGGTAGGTGTGAATGTTTCAATTGCCCACCTTGATTAGCATTTAGTGACCTAGCTTTTTTCAAGGTCTGGCTTCCTACTGCCTGAGGAAATCCATTGTTGGGAGGTGGCCATGATTGTTTCTTGTTTGGAATTCCCCTGTTTTTGAGAGTTGTTCTTTATTTACTGTTTTGATTTTAGAGTATATCATATATCCATCCAAAGCAGCACTCTCCACTTTGTTTATTGCTCACCCCCTGTCTACTTTAGACCCCACAGTAGGAAAATCATTCCCTGTTTAGCATGGTTACATGAATTGTTTTGAACATGAATTTGGATATTTTTAACCATTTTAAATTACATTGATTAATTGTGGGTGTTTCTGCAAGCCATTTTGTGTTGACATTTGTGTTCTAGACAAGCTATCACAATTCTCTTGGGCTTTTCTGTATGTTTCATTTCTTGTTAAAAAAAGAGAGAGAATGCTAGTGCCATACATTTCTTACTTGTCTCAAGAGGTTTTTGTTTTATTCTCTTTTTGGTTACACTTCAGAAATTATATTCACTCATGCATCCAGAATCATGAAACCTTTGTGACATTTACTGAATGTAAAAGAGATCTAATAGTGCAGTTTCTGTTTTCATCTTTTATAATACATTTTTGGCTAGATATTGTATGTGATGGGAAATCTTAGAAAGGAAACTAGGACTCAGTATAATTTAAAATAGTCTTAGCACTCTGTGTTGAACAAAATGTGGGATTTATTTATTTATCGTATCAGAAGCAAACCAAGGGTACAGTTGAAAATGTATTTTAAAAACACAAAGTTCAAACACTTGGCATTATATTAAATGTCCTTTGACCAGAAGCTGGCCACATGGTGTGCCTCCAGTGTTGCTATAAGGAGGTCCTCCATTGTGCATGTGGCAGGGCTCAGGCTGCATTGTAATGGGTAGCCTATTGTTTGCTCTTCTCCACACTCGTGTGTCGTGGACTCCACTT